ACCAGGCGTCTCATCTGATTCACACATTCTATTATGTAAGCGCAGGCTAATGGCTTCATCTTGTTCCCTGTCCGGTGGCATATGAATATTTCACAGGGCTCTTCTGGAGTTATCTGTAAGGCAAAAATCTCAGGTATCATCACTCTCATCATCCAGATGTTACCCCTGCATGCCATGCTATGACAAGAGCTTTCATAGACCACCTCACTCACGTCCCTCAGCATCCCCATGCAGAAGGAAGAAGTTTATCCCCATTTTACAGATGAGGAAACTAAGGCTCAAGTGATAAAGTAAGTCGCTTAAAGCCATTTAGCTTATTAATAACAGAGCTGAGGTCAAGCACAGTGGCTCATGCCCGTAATCCCAGTAATTTGAGAGACCAAGGCGGGCAGATCACCTGAGATGGGAAGTTGGAAACCAGTCTGGCCAACATGGCAAGACCTCATCTCTACTAAAAATACAAAAATTAGCTAGGCATGGTGCCAGGCACCTGTAATCCCAGCTACTTGGGACGCTGAGGCAGGAGAATCGCTTGAACCTGGGAGGCAGAAGTTGCAGTGAGCTGAGATCACACCACTGCACTCCAGCCTGGGCAACACAGTGAGACTCCATCTGAACACAAAAAACAAAAAAACAGAGCTGAGATTCGAACCCACAGGCCCCTAATTCCCAAGGCCATGATTTGGACCCCTGTGTTATGTTGCCATAGAGGAAGGTATTTGGGGGCTGGGATGAGCCATCTTCACCTACATTGCAGTGTGTCCTGCCCAGTGGTTCAGCATAGTTAAGGACAGCAGCAGCTATTCCTCACGTGCATCACCCTTTATAGTCAGCCAGCTCTGTTCTCAGATGCAGTTCATTTATCCTCCTAACCACCAGGTGAGGCCAGAACTGTCAACTCCATTTCGCCAGTGAGAAAAATGAGGCTCAGAGAAGGGGTGTGATTTGCCTGAGACCACACACAGCCAGTATCAGGCAAGGTCACACCTTTTTTTTTTTTTTTGAGACGGAGTCTCGCTCTGTCGCCCGGGCTGGAGTGCAGTGGCCGGATCTCAGCTCACTGCAAGCTCCGCCTCCCGAGTTTACGCCATTCTCCTGCCTCAGCCTCCCGAGTAGCTGGGACTACAGGCGCCCGCCACCTCACCCGGCTAGTTTTTTGTATTTTTTAGTAGATACGGGGTTTCATCGTGTTAGCCAGGATGGTCTCAATCTCCTGACCTCGTGATCCACCCGTCTCGGCCTCCCAAAGTGCTGGGATTACAGGCTTGAGCCACCGCGCCCGGCCAAGGTCACACCTTGAACCCATGTCGTCTGCCTCCAGGTCCAGAGCCCTTCCCGGACCCCCTGCCTCTCCAAGCACAGGTGGGTGGGGTGGCCACGAACAGAAGCAACCCTGTCCCTCCAAGTACACGCCTGCCTGCCACACACAATGGGGGACATTCCACAAGTTCCGAGTGATGGCTCAGGTGTGGCCAGGCTGAAAGCCCTCCTGGGCGCCCCCAGGCTCCTGGGGGACCTCCTCGTGACTCACACTTTTCCTCTTCCTCCCCTTATTCTCCCCCACAACAATCAGAAACCGGGGTCCCCTCCCTTCCTGAAAACAGGGTACTCCTCGGGAGGCCACAGGGCTTTTTCCACGCACAGCTCCTTCCATCCATCTCTGTCTCTGGCCCTGCGGGGCCTTGACAGGGAAATGCTGACTTTGAGGAGGTTAAAGGTGCTGGTGCCCGGCCTTCATCTAACAAATGGGTTGCCGTGAGGGGAGGAACTGTTGTTGTTTTTTCCTGGCCTCAGAAGAGGGGCCTGTCAGGAAGATGTAGCGGCCAGCAGGCCCCCGGCCGCGCCCTCGAGGTGGCTGACAGACGCCAGCAGCTGCCGGGGGCTCCGGGGTGCCAGGGGCCTATGTTCTCAGGGCAAAGCACCCCACCGCGTCCCCTCCCCATGGCCCTCCTGACCTTTCCGCCCACCCCGCCATGACCCAGGGCCCACCCCATCCGGGGCAAAGGGCCAGGCACTGGGCCTCCCTGCCATGAGGTCCCTGGGCCAGATGCAGAGGCGGAGCAGGAATCCGGTTACAGCCTGCGGCCGGCCCAGGGGAAGGTTTTCCTAGGGAAGCTGACAAGCCAGATCTTCCTCCCAGCCTCCCACGGATTCCTTCCAGAACCCCCACAGCACAGAGTGCCCCCCCCACCCAAGGACCTCACAAGGCTGTTTCTGTAGAATTTCCTTAGAACTCCCTATTCCCAGGTTCACCCTTTGGGATCATGGAGGTTAACCAGAAATAGATGTGCCAGGAAGGGAGCCACATTTGTCCATTACTTACTCTGCCTTTTGCATAAAGGATTTCTTTCTTTTTTTCTTTTCTTTTTCTTTTTTTTTGAGACAGCATCTCACTCTGTCGCCCAGGCTGGAGTGCAGTTGTGCAATCTCGGCTTACCACAACCTCCGCTTCCCAGGCTCAAGCAATTCTCCTGCCCTCAGCCTCCCGGGTAGCTGGGATTACAGGCGTGTGCCACCACACCCGACTAATTTTTGTATTTCTATTAGAGACAGGGTTTCACCACGTTGGCCAGGCTGGTCTTGAACTCCTGACCTCAAACGATCTCCCCGCCTCGGCCTCCCAAAGTGCTGGGGTTATAGGCCTGAGCCACTGCACCTGGACTACATAAAGGATTTCATTGAAAATTTACAAATGTCTGTGGGCTGGGCTGCCTGGATTTGAATCCTGGGTCCTCCGCTTCCCTGCTGTATGACCTTGTGCAGGTTACACAGTCTCTCTGTGCACTGGAGTCTTCTGAAAAACCGAACTGATGAGAATGACTCTTGCCTCAGAAGGCTTTTGTGGGAATCCATGGGGGTAAAAATGTGTAAGGTGCAAAGTGCTTTACACAGATCCCACTCTGACTGTCATCTCAGATGAGGAAACAGAAATTCAGAGAGATGGCCGGGTGCAGTGGCTCACTCTTGGAATCCCAGCACTTTGGGAGGCCAGGGCAGGTGGATCACGAGGTCAGGAGATTGAGACTATCCTGGCTAACACGGTGAAACCCCGTCTCTACTAAAAAATACAAAAAATTAGCCGGGCGTGGTGGCGGGCGCCTGTAGTCCCAGTTACTCGGGAGGCTGAGGCAGGAGAATGGCGTGAACCCGGGAGGCGGAGCTTGCAGTGAGCCCAGATCATGCCACTGCACTCTAAGACTCCGTCTCAAAAAAAAAAAAAAAAAAAAAATCAGAGAGCTAAGGTGACTTGTTCCAGGGCACACAGCCAGGAAGTGGCAGACCTGGGGTTTGAACTCAGACCCGTCTCACCTCAAACCCCATGTCTCTTCCTCTGCATCTGGCCTGCTCCAGACTGAACAGCAGGACACCTGAGGCCAAATGCTGATTGCACCATTTCTTAGCTGTGAGAGTCTGGGCAGCCCAGTCATCCATCTGAACCTCAGTTTTGTCATCTGCAAAATGGATCTTACCCATCCTAGGAAAGTTGTAAGGCTCAGAGAATTGTGTGTGCCACAGCTAAGCCCTGGGCAAAGCAGAGATATGAGTCTGGTTGGCAGCTATGACCCCATCCCCTTTACTGGACTACAACAACCTGATCACTTGTTTCAGAAGATGGCACATCTTTTCATATGCACACCTTTCCCCATCTTTTACAGCTGTTCCTGCTCCCGGGATGTGTATCTGACTGGAGTTTCTATATTAAAGGCAAGTCGTGGCTTCATTCCACATCCCTGGGTGCCCTTCCACTCTTCCTAGGAGCATCTCCTGCACCCACCCCCCAGGGCCCCACCTCCAGGCTGCAGAGCTAAGACCCAGGGGCCCCTCCTCAGGGAACCCTGGCCGTCTTCGGAAGCAGCCAGCAGAGACGCTGCTGTTAAGGTCCATGCCTGTTTCTGCTCCAATCCTGCTGCCCTGGGTTGTGGCAATAACCAGTGGGGAAGGAGTTCTGGCCCCTGGGTGTTAGGAATGTTGTCCTCCAAGAAATTGCATTAACCCTCTGAGAGACCAGCAGGGCGCAGCCATGAGGAAGACTGATTGGGCATCGAGATGGCACTTGGGCTGGCTGCCCTGTGATGTGCACCAGCCCGGAGACCCACGTGCCTGCTTGCCAAAGAGGCTCCTCTGGGGAATGAGGAGCCCCTGATTCCTACTTCCCTGCCCCAAATTCCTCGGAAGCCTCCGCCTCTAAGGGTTGAGAAAGGGAAGCAGGTGGGTGGAGGTGAAGGGGGCAGGGAGCAGGTGGGAGGAGACCCGAAGAAACTTCAAGGACCTTATTTAAGAGCCTTGCCATTGCTGTGAAGAAAAATGACTTGAAACCTCTCTAGAGAAGACTGTGGCTAATTGGCATGTAAGTTGGAGGTTAAAGAGCGGAAGGAAGAATCTGATTGTTTTTTTAAGTTACTGAGAAAGTGAGAATGTCACTCTGGGCAGAGAGAAATTCTTTTTTTCTAGAGTGTGCCTTTCTTTATACTACAGACCATAGTGGGCCGCTGAGACTTGCAAAAAAGATTTCTTTTAATCCACCTTCCTTTTTCGCAGGCAGCAGTAGAAGGGCCTTTAAATCAAATGCAATCACCAAGCTTGTCTCTTGCTTTTATTCCTCACTTCACTCCCTGGAATTTGGCATTTGATGGATTCTGGATCTGACTTAAGGCTTTTTCTAAATCCAAGACTTGGGGAATTTTGTTAACAGTGCAATAAAAATAACTTCATAGTGTTACAGGAGGCACATTAAAGACGGTGTGTGTGTGTGTATGTGTGTGTGTGTGCGCGCGCGCAAGTGCTGCTTTCTTTAAAATAAAAAAAAAATACAGACAATGTTTCTTTAAAAGTCTCCATCTGCAAATCCCATTAGATGTGCATATAAGGTTTCTGATGATTAATAGTTGCCTGCTAGGGTTTTGGTTGGAGGGGATCTTGTGTGTGCGGGTTAACCCCTCCCTCTCCTCTCTCACATTTCACTTCAGAAATTTGTCACTCTCTCCCCACCGCAGGATTTAAAGTGTGTCCCAGCAGCCCTGGTCCAGCCCTCTGCAGGCATTTGCTCTGGGCTCCAGGACGAGCTCCTCCTCAGCTGGTGCTTCTGGGTTGGGACAGTGAAAATGTTTAGTGTCACTGGCGACAAATACACGTACAGGGGACCCCAGTAGGCAGGCTGGTGCATTGGAGGGGCAGGAGCAAGCCCAATATAGGTGTGTGCACACACATAGGAGTAGCTGGCCGCATGTGTGTGTACTTTAAGGAGAGACTTTAGTTTTTCTTTTTTTTCTTTTTTTTGGTTCCTGGGGTAAATTTTCTGTTGAACATTTTTCCCTCCTATTTAATTTTTTTTCTTTTGCATTTTTAAAAATTTGAACATAAAAAGTATAAAGAATCAAATCTTTGAAAGGACTGAGGCGTGCAGCGGACGGCAGATGGATCCCCCGGCCAGCAGCTGCATGAGGAGCCTCCAGCCCCCAGCCCCTGTCTGGGGCTGCCTTCGAAACCCCCACTCAGAAGGCAATGGGGCCTCAGGGCTACCCCACTACCCGCCCACCCCGTTCTCCTTCCACCAGAAACCAGACTTCCCGGCGACAGCGACGGCAGCGTACCCCGACTTCTCAGCCTCCTGCCTGGCGGCCACCCCACACAGCCTGCCTCAGGAGGAGCGCGTCTTCACTGAGCAGCACCCTGCTTTCCCACAGTCCCCCAACTGGCACTTCCCTGTCTCAGAGGCCCGGCGCAGGCCCAACTCAGGCCTGGCAGGGGGTTCCAAGGAAATGGGGACCAGCAGCCTGGGCCTGGTGGACACCACAGGAGGCCCAGGCGAGGACTACGGGGTGTTTGGGAGCACTGCCAATGAGACAGAGAAGAAATCATCCAGGCGGAGAAAGGAGAGTTCAGGTAGGTGGCTCAGGAGCAGCTGATCATTCCTTTACTGTGTGACCTTGGGGAAGTTACTCACCCTCTCTGTGCCTAGGTGCTCTGTCCATGAATTTCTGTCTAGCCTATCCAAATGCAGGAGATTGGACCAGTTACCTTTGGGGTTTCTTCCACTGAGAGTTCTAGGATTCTCTGGTGATGGGGACCGTGTCTGTGTCCCAGCACTCCTGGGCCCCAGGAAGGGTGTCCCAGCGAGAGAATGAAGCAGGATCTGCAAGGATTTGGAGGACACGTGAAATGGATCCTCTGGGTGCAGACTGGCGAGGGCTGGTGAGGGGCTTTCCTGCATCAGGCTGCCATTGAATCATGCTCCTCCCCACCATGCTTTGGCCAGCCCCAAGTGGCTAGAGCCACAGGGCTCGTTTACCAGGGAAGTCAGCTGAGATTAAGGCTCTGAGAGCTAAGACTGAAGCTGGGACCCTGGGTGGCCACCCACAGCCAAGACCCTATGTGTCCAGGAGCCTAGAGGCAGAGAAGCAGGCCTGCAGCTGGATAGGAGAGTCCAGGGGTGAGGGGGAGATGGAGGACTGAGGTTTGGGGTATCACCCTGTGGAGCTGGGCCATGTCCAGGCCAAGGGGACAACTTAGCATGCTGAGATCTGGCTGAGCCCCCGGGAAGGCAGCCCCGCAAGGAACTGTGAGGGATGGGCAGCCTCCAGGAGAGTCAGGCAGCCAAGGGAGTCCGTGCTGGAGTCCCAGAGGCTGGAGGATGAGGTTGGCCTATTTGTTAAGATTCCAGCTAAAACCCTTCTCTTCCCCAGGGTGGGGACCTGCTGTTTCCTCACCTCCCCACCAGGCCCTCCCTGGTTTCTCACACTGCCTGTTCACCTTTTGTCTGGTTCCTCGTCCCGGCCTTGTTCGGAACAGGGCAGTGCCCAAGCCTCCTGCCCGCACTGCCCTGTTTTCCTCCTGACAGCTGCCCTCAGGGGCACGCCTGTCTGTCGGAGCCTGTAGACGACCTTCCCATGGGGCTAAGAAGGACAGGCCAGAAAAGAAGGGCACCAATGAACAGGTGGGAATGCTTTGTGCTTTGCTTTATCAGCACAGCTTTCCCGAGTTTGTGCTCTTAGCCAAGCCCAGGAATGCTCTGGGTGAATAAAGGGGTCTTACCCAGAAAAGCTCAAGCTGAGAGGAAGAAGAGGCCGGCAGAGGTGTGTCAGCAGTGGGATGTGCCCTGATGGGGAGGCTTAAGGTGCCATGGGATACCGACGTCAGCTCTTTTGAGTCCCATGGGTTTGGGAGATAGAGACAGCAGGTTTTATTAGTATCTCGATTCTCTCAATCTGCAAAATGAAAGACTGAAAGTTTGTGAGAACACAGAAAGAATGGGGTCAAAATAGAGTGAGCAGCTCATCTCCATTTGCCCAGGACTTTTCCAGTTTTAGCACTGAAAATCCTGTGTCCTGGGAAACCCCACGGTCCCAGGTAAACAGGAGAATTGGTCACTCTAGTAGTGAGCTCAAACCCCAGGCTTCAGGCCCCCGATGTCACACCCTTCAGTAGATTTCCAACGCAATCCTCATTTTGAAATGATGTTTGGTTTCCCTGCTTGAAGAAGCCCCTCAGTGAGCTCACAATGGGTAACAGGAACCCTAGCAGCCCTTGCGGCTGCTAAATAGAAGGGCCCTTTAAACCTCCAGCCAGTTAGATCCCCACCCCGCAAACTAACTCATCCTACCCCAGGTAGGAAATGTGCTAAGGATGAGAAGGGACTCTCAGCGACTTGACTCTGAGCTGGGTTGAAGAGCTTTCCCCTTGGTGGCGGCACCAGGCACCGTGGCTCCTTCCTCTCTGCCACTTTCCAGGGAACTGACAGCCAAGGGCATTGAAAAGGGATAGCAAAGCCAAGAGCCTGCTGGGCTCAGGCAGAATCTTCCAGCATTCCGAGTCTCAGCAAAACCCAAATGCACCAGCTCTCTTTTTGGCAAGTGACCGATGGCCCTGCAATGCAGAGAGAGCATTCACGCTAAGCAGCTGGCCACCCAGGAGTACAGGGACACCCTCTGCTGAACGGCCTGCACACTTCAGAGTCAGACTTTGGTGGAGGGAGGTTCCCATCCGCAGAGGCCCTGGGCTTCCCTAAGGGTCCCCTTGGGAGCACCAGTAGCAGGTGAGGCAGGGCCCAGAGAGCTGACTCTCACTCATCCCTCTGTGATTCCAGACAAACTCGCTGTTCAGCATGGAAATCTTTATTGCTCAGATGCTTGAGTCCTCCTTTGGAATTTAACTGAAGGGGAGGAAGGAGGCAAGAAATATCAGCTTCATAAGAGCCCAAAGAAGGGGGAAAGCGACCCAAGGCTCACAACCTACTCCAGGAATTTGGAATTTAGCTCAGAAAAGGCAAACCCACAGAGAGCTCCCCACCCAACCCTACCAATCCTGAGTCTGTAATCGGATCCTCTCTCTAAAATTGTGATATTTTGTTCATTATCAATTTTTGGCATTAATTTTGATTTTTACAAATATTGCCTTAAAATACATTTTGTTGTTGTTGTTGAGATGGAGTCTCCATCTAACTCCCAGGCTGGAGTGTAGTGGTATAATATCAGCTCATTGCAACCTCTGCCTCCTGGGTTCAAGCGATTCTCCTGCCTCAGCCTCCTGAGTAGCTGGGATTACAGGCGTGTGCCACCACTCCCGGCTAATTTTTGCATTTTTAGTAGAGTCAGGGTTTCACCATGTTGGTCAGGATGGTCTTCAACTCCTGACCTCGTGATCAGCCCGCCTCAGCCTCTTAAAGTGCTGGGATTACAGGCATGAGCTACCGAGCCCGGCCTGCCTTAAAATATTATTGTTCTTGATTACAGAGGGTTTGGGAGTGCCCTTGCATTTGGGCCTCCCCAAGTCCAGGCTGAGTGGTCCCTGGAAGGTTAACTATCATTGATCAGAAACGTGTTTTCCATAGTTCTTCCTGGCCAGACAGACAGGCTACAGTGTCATCACGGCAACTTTTGGCTGCATGACTTTGGAAAAGTTCTTAACTTCTTCCAGCCTTTGTTTCCCTAGCTGTAAAATGGGAATATAGCAGTGGCACCTTCCATAGAGAGTCTCTCTGTGAAGGTTAGATGCAGTGATCCATGAGATTAACTCTGTGCCTGGCACATAGTGAGAGTTCAATAAATAGCAGCTATGAATGGTATTAGGCCCATATTTCCTGAACCAGCCTTCAGAAGATAAGGTCTGACAAATATGTCTATATTTATGGGGATGGTGGAATTGAATATTTCAATTGTGCTGTCTCAGAAATTCCTGAGTCTAGGGAACTTCTGGCAATCATTTTGGTCCAGTTGTCATCAGGAGCATGGAGCTCAGAGACCTGCTGGAGAGGTTGTGGGGTGAGTTGGGCCTGGCAAATGCACCCCGTATTGAGAGGCTGAGAAGCCCCCAGAAATGGAAAGTTTGTTGCAAAAGGAATGTTCTCTGCTCTTCCTTCCTCCTCTGCCATCTCCTTCAACTGCTCCCTGCTCACTCCCAGTGGAATCTGGAGCTGATCTACTCAAAGAAATTATCAAGAAAGCAAGGGTTGGCCCGGCACAGTGGCTCACGCCTGAAATCCCAGCACTTTGGGAGGCTGAGCTGGGCGGATCACCTGAGGCCAGGAGTTCAAGACCGGCCTGGCCAACATGGTGAAACCCCGTTCCTACTAAAAATACAAAAAAAAAAAGAAAAAATTAGCCAGGCGTGGTGGCAGGCGCCTGTAATCCCAGCTACTTGGGAGGCTGAGGCAGGAGAATAGCTTGAACTCAGGAGGTGGAGGTTGCAGTGAGCAGAGATCATGCCACTGCACTTCATTCAGCTTGGGTGACAGAGCGGGACTCCATCTCAAAAAAAAAAAAAAGAAAGAAAGCAGGGTCCCTGGCCCTTGGCACTTCCCCACCCTGGAGACAAGCATGGTGTTATCTTACCCAAACCACTCCCAGCCCTAGGCCAATGGGGGTTAAAGACCCCTGCTGGCAGGGACAGCTGTGAGGCCACTGTTGTTTTCCCCCAAACTGTCCTTGCTACTGTGGTTGTCTTTAATTTATGGGAATGAGGGATTTTGCGGTGGTTTCCTGATGGGGTTCAAGGGAAGGTTGCATGTGATTAGAGTGGCTGCAGGTGAATCCGATCGCCCGCCTGGGAAAGCTGTGGTGCTAGAACTCAGCACTGCTCCCTCCTGCTCTCACGTCCTCACTCTGCTGAGACGTGCCTTTAATCAGATGTGATTTGTCTCATCCTTCTTCAGCTCCAACACGTGTGTTCCCAGAGCTGTCCTGCCCCAATTTCTCTTTGCAAGACCTGCTCTCTGCCTGCCCCTGCCCAACCACAAATTTGCCTAAGGTATAAAACTCCACAAATAGGCCTCTCTCTCCTCTTCCCTCCTGATGCCGCTTTACAGGCCACCTCCCCACCCCAGTTCCCCTCCACTACCCCTGCCACGAAGCCACACCAGGGGACTGACCTTACAAACACATCCTGCATTTTCTTCCCCGTCTCTGACTGTGCTCTGGTGGTTTCTCCTTGCTTAGAGTACCCTACCCTTCCCCATACTTCTGCCTGTTGAAATCCTACTTAAAAATCACCAGCTCAAAAACAACCCCTTACAATAATATTTTTATCCTTCTTTTTCAAATATTTATAGCCACACTTGTATATAACATGGTATCAAAGAAAGCTACAGTTAAGAAGTTTCAAAGTCTAGTATCTGCTAGAGTCTGTGTTGATTTTCTCACTTTAGCTTGCAGTTGTTTCATAAAGCAACTCTTCTGAGGTTTCTTACCGGGGACATCTTATATTTGAAATCTCCTTTTTAAAAAATCGTGGTCAAATATACATAACATAAAAGTTACCGTCTTAACAGTTTTTAAGTGACACAGTACAGTAGTTGTGCAATCAATTTCTAGAACTTTTAATCTTGTAAAACTGAAACTCTATATCCATTAAACAACGCCCCTTTTCCCTTCCCCCGCCCCCTAGCAATC